GCGCTTCCCAGTCCATGTGCAGTACATCCGGACTCTTCTTAGGGAAGCACGCTGTTCCAGGTTATGGGTGCGTGGTGGTGGATCGAGCGAGCTGTCAGCGTATTCATACAGGCCTTTATGTGGAACCAGCAGGACCTGCCAGTAACCATGCAATGTGCCTCCTAGGAAACTGAGTAGTGCTGCTTGTGCAGTTTCCGAGTATGTGCCCATCTGCGCTGGTGAAAAGAAGAAAACTTGCATTTGGGGGCAAATAAGATGGACTGAGCAGTGTGCTCTAACACACCTAACCTGTTTGCAGGCTGGCTTCTCGCTCAAGCAGCCACAGCACTGCCAGTACTTATTTTCCTGAACAGTAGCATTCATTCTGACTCCATAAGGTTAAAAATGGCTTTCTCTCCGTAGCTTATTTCAAAGGCAAAAGTGAAAACTCATGACACATGAGGTTTAGGTTTAAGTGGAGTTGTGCTAACAGCCTGTTTCTGCTGCCTTGTGGCCTTAGCTTTCTGTTACGTCAGCCAAGGTTAAAAAATTGGAACTTTTTCAAGGCACAGGCATTTTACTTTCAGCATGTTTTTGACTATGTGAATCAAAAGCTGATGTTGACAGTGTTTGTTCACAGGCAGAAATAAAATGAAGGCAATAGAAATAATTTAGTCAAAGTTCCACAAATAAAAAAAGGTGTGATGTGATATCCTAACACAGTTGATTGCATCTACTTTTAAGATCAGGTTATTCTCAGAGTATGTTACTAATAGCTGTCTATTTGTCAATACCAGAGCTTTCATTTCTGTACTAAGAATATTTTGTACCAAATGGTGGTGTAGTATTCAGAGTCCTATGGAAAGCTCTAATTATTTAAGGCTCATAATGTAATCTATACTTTATGCAAGACAGTAAACTGAGAACAGTCATAAATTCTTACTGTTTTCAACTTTGGATCTGTGGTGGTAGCTCTGGAAATAAATGCGAGGCAGTTCTTAAGGGTAAAGTCTTCAGGAGTATCTGAACTTAGGAGCTGAAGTGCAGTGGGTTGTAAGTGCTAGAAGTTAACACAGGCCCTGTTAAAATCTTGCCCTGTCAGCTTAGTTTCAGCATTACCTTCTGTCATTCTGTCCCTACTTCTAGTGAAGTGTTTTATGCTTAGCTCTGTCATGCGTTTATTTTGTAAAGTGATGCTTTTTGTACAAAAGAGGAAGAATACAGGTATTTTAGACTTGCAGAACTTTCTCTTACTTCAAAATGATTGTTGTCCACAAATCTCAAAATAGTCAATAGCGTGGGCTCTGTGGGGATACTTTTATGAATTGAAGTAAAACTCAGAGTTTTTTAATTTAACAATGACTTTTTTAACAGATGTGTTGCAAATGTAATAAATATATTAATGCAGCTATAATGTCTGAGGAGCTGCCTAACTGTAGTAAGTTTTACAGAAGAAAGAAAAAAGCAGCTTTTTGTGCTGCCCAGAGAAGTTTGCCTCCCGAAATGCAAGCTTTCATCTGCTTATTTGTGAGCATTTTATATAAAGGCTTTTTTTACACAGAGATTTTCATGACGAAGGCTTGCCCTTCCCCTCTAGCATAATCATCATCTGCTTTTCCATTTGACCTGTGCACCATACTCTTACCAATAGTCACAACTCTTAGCTGAAGATCCTGCTATCACAGTAGATGATGTGCATCTCTTCTGCAGCTGTTTCCCTCAAACCCAGCAGGTGTGCTCTTGTGATTGTGGCATTGGGGCCTGCTGGGAGAAGTGTGTTCTCCTAGCAACTCCAGAAATGTTTTCAAACTCCCAAAGAGTGAGAGTTGAAAAGGAACGCTCTTTCTGCAACGCATGATCTGCAGGAAGACTGCAGAGATGGTCGTCACTCCTTGTGTCCTGGTTTCGGCTGGGATAGAGTTAATTTTCTTCCTAGTAGCTGGCACAGTGCTGTGTTTTGGATTTAGGATGAGAGTAATGTCGATAACACACTGATGTTTTAGTTGTTGCTAAGTAGTGCTGATACTAAGTCAAGGACTTTGCGGCGCCCCATGCTCTGCCAGGTGCAGAAGAAGCTGGGAGGGGGCACAGCCGGGACAGCTGAGCCCAACTGGCCAAAGGGCTATTCCAGACCATAGGATGTCATGCGCAGCACATAAACTGGAGGCAGTTGGCCAGGGAGCAGCAGTCACTGCGCAGGGATGGGCTGAGCATCGGTCCGAGGGTGGTGAGGAATTGCATTGTGCATTACTTGCTTTGTATATTCTTTTATAATTATTATTACTATTATTTTCTCTTCCTTTGCTGTCCTATTAAACTGTCTTTATCTCAACCCATGGGTTTTACTTCCCCCACCATCCCCTAATTTCTCTCCCCCATCCCACTGGGGCAGGGAGGGTGAGCAAGCAGCCATGTGGTGCTTGGTTGCTGACTGGGGTTAAATCACAACACCTTGTTTGTCAGGCACAGGTCCAGCCCTTATTTTGACAGCTTTTCCTCACTGAAGTCCTGCCTGCACTCAACCAGGTCTTTCTTGCCGCTCTGGGAGCAAACGTTTCCCTTCGGGCTTCCTAGAAACATCTTGTTCAGCCATCTGCAGGAAGAAAGGAAAAATTATGTCCCTTACCATGACCCTCTCACAGCAGAGGGGAGTGGGAAGTATTCTTACCCCTAAACCTGCTGCTCTTCCCAAGGCCTTGGAAAGTGAAGTAAAAAAAGGTCATACCCATCAGGAAGGGTTGTGGGGAAGGGCAAATACCTGTCCGCACGACACTCACTCTTCCTTGACCCCCATGAAGATGAAAAAAAAGTAGGTCAGAAGATAATAAATGTTACGATACACATAAACACTGTTAGGAGCTCTCAGGAACAGCAGTGATATAACAGAGTGCTTGTTACAGGCACTGGCAAAATCCTTGTTGCTGATTTTAGATTGCATCAGTGACTTGTAGTCTGATACATTTATTTTTCTCTCGATTGCTCTGCATTTTATCAGTCATAACGAAAGGGAAAACACTTCTCAATTTTATAATGCCATTTATAAACCCTTTGGCCTGATAAATATAAGATGAAGGATGTTTCCCTCCAAAACTAAGTGATGACGATGTTGCAAGACGAATTTGAAATCCAAATACTAGAAATTTGAAGAATTCCAAGTGTAGCTGTCTAGAAGCAATGTTTCCTTTGACTTGATCTCCACAGTGAACGTAACTTTCTCTCCCTCCATTTACAACATAAACCTTGCTAAGGTTACTACTTGTAGTCTGTAACACAATTAATGAATTACCGACTCCATTCTAGCCAGAGGTATGTTTGTCTTTCTGTTTTAACGTCTTAACTCTAAGCCCTTCCCATCCAGTCCATCGAAAGCAGGTTTCACCTTCTCAGCTGGCATTTTATGAAGTAGCTACTGTTTTTGTGTGCCTGCCACACAGTAGGAGCCCCAAGGCTTACTTTTCTGCTACGTGGGTTAGGGAGTGACACCTGATGAGAATGTGCTTAATAGCGGGAAAGCTCTTTGAAAAGTTCCTGGAAATAACAGCGAGTCTCTTACTGTAACAGACCTCTGGACGGCATTGTACGATATTAGAGATGAGGGTCGGTAACTCAGTTGTTTAAGTACTTGCTGGCTGGATTTGTGAATAGATTTATTATTTTCACCTTTATTGTCATCTTTACTCATCAGTACACAAATAACTAAGTAACAAATTATTCTGGTTTACCCAGATAAAATCAACACATATTTGTGGAAGAGAATTCTGAAGGAAATCGTCACTCAATCTTTACTTCTTGTTAGAAGCCTTGTGTACTAGTATGAAAATAGTAGGCTGAATATTTTCAGTTTAAGTTGTGAATTCTGTATTAAATTGTAAATCTGAAATAGTAGCCTTCACAGATAGTCCTTGACAAATATCACTGATGTCGGATACTCCCCCCCCCAGTATTTTCTAGGTGGTAAAGAATACATTTTCTCTGTGAGATAGTTTAAAGTAGGTTAGCATCAGCTTTCCTACCTTCCTCTGCGACTAATTCTGAAGCATGGTAGTGAATCACTGAATCGCTATTGGAACCACTGATAGCGATTGCAGCAGTGACATTTGCTTTCTCCCTCCTCCTCCAGAGTTCTGGCTGGTCCTGGACATGGCTTCAATGTAAATAGTGGCGAGATGTGGGCAGCCTGAGCTTGTGCATTCCCTAATGAAAATTCTGTGGGCACTTAATCTAATGCTAATGCTGTCATTTCTGAAAGCATATCTGTGAAAGGGAAGAAAATATGCCACTTGGCAGGAGGGGTGAACAGGGCTTCATGCAGGATGTTCTGGACACTTGCTACCAGCTGGACTGTGTATAAAAAGCTAATTGCCATATTTTTCCTTCTTTCTCCAAGAACTTGAACTAGCAGTTTTTTCACACATATTTTCTGTTTTCTTTTCCCACCCCTTTCCCTTGTACCCTTCATTTCAGATCTAAATGAGTGTGGACTAAAGCCGCGGCCATGCAAACACCGGTGTATGAATACCTACGGCAGCTACAAGTGCTACTGTCTGAACGGCTACATGCTTATGCCAGATGGAACGTGCTCGAGTATGGCAAGGCTTATTGCTTTCTTTTTTTCAAACTCCTCAATATCCCTGCTTGGGTTTCCCTGGGAAACTTGTTTGAAATGAAGAGGAGTCCCAACGTAAAAGATTCATTGTGCTGGAAATGAGGCAGTTGCACAAGATGAGCTTCTTTTTTCTAATGAAATTAGGCTGAACAAACCAAGAGCAAATATTTTGATTTTATTAGTTTTATTACAGGTTTCCCCAGAAGCATTCTTCAGTGCTGTAAATCACTGTTAATTGGCCTTCAAGAGCACGTGCTTGCAGTTTTCATTGCAGCAAGACACCTGCAGTTCTGCTGTGTTATGTCCTTATGACTGTAAAGTCATTGAAGCTGCAGATGTTTGTTGTTTGACTGGTATAAAATTGTATTGTCATCTCTTTGGAGATCAGGTTCCTATGTGCTCCCATAAAAGTGGATATTTTGACTGTGTGTACAGAGAGAAGGGGAGAGAAATTACCTTTAATTAGAGACGCTCCTATTTTAAAATGGCTGTACTATCCAGGAGGGTTTATGGTACATACTGGGCTTTATGTTCCTCATGGAGGCTGCATTCCATGACACAACTTGCTATAATTGTGGTGGGGGTTTTTTGGGGGTTGGTTTTTTTTTTTTTTTCTCTCTTAGAGATGCAATTTGTGGAGAGAAAAAATTTACTACATATGCATTTGCTCTTTAAAGCATGAATGGACGCCTGTCAAATTCAAGAAGCATTTTTCCACTTCTATCATAACTATGTGGTGTCTTAATTCTCCCAAGTTTTTAATCATTTTCTGGTACTGATCGGAATCCTTATCTAAATATGTTCAATTTTTTTTCCCTAGATGCCCTTTCTTGCTCAATGGCAAACTGTCAGTATGGCTGCGATGTACTGAAAGGGGAAGTACGCTGCCGCTGTCCTTCTCCAGGCCTGCAGCTAGGGCCTGATGGAAGAACTTGCATAGGTAGGTGATCAAATGTAGATTTAATCTTTTTTCTCCAAAGTGTTTTTATCCTTACACTGAATGCAATTCAGGAGAGCTTATCAGATCTACTAATGAGAATTGGGATAGGCGTGTTGCTCGGGTGCTCTCAAGTGGTATGTGTCAGAGATCACCAGAGTTTTCTTCCAGTCCTGCAAGTTTCATTGGCTGCTTAAAACTCACATGGGCTGCTTGGCATCCAAGCCCTCAGCCCTTACCACTCCTGTTACTGGGTCATTTTAAACTATTCATAAGAGAGACTTCAAAATGCCTGCCTGCATAAAAAAAAGGAATGAGGAGGTCAGTTCTCCCTCATACCCAACAAGGTGGTGCCCAGGCTCAGGGAGTAGAGGGATAATTTGTGCAAATCATTGAGATTATACTGGGACAAGGTGAAGGCCTGTGCATGCTCCCAGTATTAGTGGGATTGAAGCTACTCTCTGTCTTCCATACTGTGAAAACTCCAGGTTAAAATAAACTCAGGAATTCAGACTGTATAAAAGTGAAATGTGTTGTTCCCACATTTGTGAACATGGAAAAGGTACTTATGGTTAATCAGAGTGTATTGTGCCATGCTTTACTATGGTCTGAAGAACAGTGTGATGTGTGATTTCATTAGTCATTAACTATACATCCTGAGTGGATGTGATGCTCCAGTGATTTTATTATTTATATCCTATGCAGTGCTACAGTTCCATAACCAGTAACAGCACTTGCACTGAAAAAATGTAAGAGAATGTGGATGTCCTAATTATCCATTTGGGTATCACGGCTGTCCACGGGGGAGGTGGTTCTCCAAGTGGCTGACCCATGCTGACCAAGAATTTGTTGGCAGAGCAAGGGACAGATTCTAAATTTCTGATGTGAGGAGCAGGCTCAGCTCCAAGTCAGAGGCTTTCTGAAGTGTATGACTGGCACGTCTATGTATGCAAAAGGAAGGGTAGACTGGGAGAAAAAAACCCACCATTGTCATGTGCTGAATGGACTGAATTGTGATTAATCACGCCATGGACGTTAAGGCAGAGAGAGATCTTTGGAAGAGACTTGTGCCATGCCATAATGAGCTGAGTGATTTTAAGTACAAATTCAAGAAAGTTATACCAAGTCCAGAAATTTGCTAGAAACATACTTGCAAGATTCTCCTAGTGTGCATTTTTATATTCAGGCAAACTTCATACTCTGAAGTAAACAAAGTGCACTTTTAATGCCAAAGACCAGCACTCAAACCAGCTATATGTGAAGCACTTTCAGTTCTTCAGTGTAGTATTCAAAACCCCACTTTTTTCCCAGAAAGGTGAAGAACTGTGTATCCACATTTCAGTTGGGTGTGCATTGTTCAGGTTGATCTCATAACCTATTTTTGAAATTTTCCACCAAAATTTCGGAGCAGCCTTGTACAATACAGAGGAAGTAGTCACAGCAAGAGATGTCTGTCCTTCATGGGTCATAGCATGAACTACTCCCCTTTTTTGGTAAGAAGTGATTGTGACGTGCACCCTTTTTGTGTTCTGTCTCTACCAAGTTGGAGAATTGAAGAATTGGAGCTATTTGGGGCTAGGACTGTGCCTTTTCTTCACGTGTGTACAAGCCCGTTGTGTTGGGGAGGTTGTCAGCTACAGTAAAGGTGCTGCAGTACAAATAGAAGTGTAGACGATGGTAAAAAATATTGAAATGTGGATAGGCTGCAGCTCATGAAATCCTTGTTTGAGGAGCATTTGAAAGACAGCTGGGAATGTAATGCTTATTTTTAGCACAGGTGGAAATTCCTCTAGGCATTATTCTATTTTTAGCTTAATCCATGCTGATTGTTCTCTTGTAAAAATGTTCCTTCCAGATAATCAGTATAGAGCCACCAAAGAATTTGGCTACGAAGGTAAATCATATAAACTAAGTAACAACGAATTCAACAAAGTATTCAGTGAAAATATGGATTAATTGACTAATTGATTGATTAACGACTCTTGAATCAGTAAATCAATCAGTGTTGCCAATTTTTTGGATTGGGATTTTCATTTAATGAAATTAGCAGTATGCACACTTAAGCTTCAGAAGGTCTGAAGTTATTTGAGGACTGAAAATAATTACTTTCACTGTAAAATAAATTCTTTCTAGTTGTTTTGGTTGTGTATAGAAACTTGAAAGTATGACCTCGTAAACTTAAAGATCTTACTATTTTTAAACGAGTCTCATAGATGTTTAGTGCTCGAGTTGGCAATATGGTCATTCTCACAGCAGGAGAGAAGCAAGGCTTTGTATTTCTGCTTCTCTCTTGAACGCTGACCACCACACGCATTAGGTGCTGTCTGTATCATATGCCTTTGGAGCAGCTCCCTGGCGCTAAGTCTAGGCATGCACCTCTGAGGCAGACCAGGCTGAGATGAGAATACAAATCACCCCTTCAAGCCCTGTTTTTTTTTTTTTTGTAGGAAGCAAGCAAAGGGAATCAGTCTTGCACCATTTGGGCCCAGGTGTGAATTGGCACGGGTCCATGGGCTTCAAAGAAGCCACATCCCTGCACTGTTTGAGAACTGCGGGGAAACTAATTGTAAGCACTTGCATAGCAGCTTCTAGCTAATGATCGAAGAGTGGTTTTCCCACCAGTAAAGAGCATCCACCCACCTCTCGTATTAAATTCAAGCAGGAGGCTGTTACTTTTTTTTGCATTGTTTTTGTGTCAGTTTTCAACAGTGTATTGATTAGCAGCTCAATCTTCTATTTTTGGGATGTATAACAGCCTAGAAAATTAAACATTACCACTACAGTGCTCTCATCATCTAACATACTTCTTGCCTTATGGGAATTTGCAAAAACATGAATATGGACAGAGGGAAAGGCAGGACAAGTGACATTGGGTTTTAAAGAACGTAATCCATGCCATGATGAGGTATATTCGGTGGCTAATCTTTTTCTTCCTGAATTGCTTTTTGAAGTTGCGGTTTAAAGATAAAAACAACAACAAAGAACCCCAACTAACTCATAGTAATCAAGAGTCTGATATTTGCAGTCTTGAAATAATATTTTAATAAAGGGCAGAAAATTGTGGCTTGTAAATGAAATAACAGTAAGGAACATGGCAGAATTTCTAAAGCTGTTAATAATGTACTAGAAGCCTAAAACTTTAATAATAGATTCAAACCAAGTGGCAGATTTATAGGGAGAGTCAGGCACATGGAGAGGTGCCCAGTATTGGCCTCATTTTCTTTCTCATTGAGGCCTTTACTGTGGCATTGAAGAAGTGCTCCCGGCTGAGAGTTGAGGAGAGTGGCTGCGTCGGAGTGGTCTGACGGGCCAGCAGTGTGGGAGGGAGCTCAGGAGTTCCTTGCTGTCCTCAGTAACTCTTCATGCAGAGTGGGACAGTGCCAGCAGGAGCTACTGGGACAGCCCATCTAGCCAGTAATTCATGGCTTTGGATCACTTCTTCTGGCTGTGGGAAACACAGCTTGGAGAACTTGAAGCTACATCTCCCCTGCCACGGGTAGCTGCCCGAACTAACCAGCAGTTTTGTGGTAATATTTTTTCTGCGCTGTGCAAGAGACTCTGGCTTCTGTCTGCCTTGTTCAGGCCTCTTTTGCAAGCAGGAGGGCATCAATCACTTGGCTTTGCTTTGCACTCTTGACACCTGCAGCTGAAGCGCTCCTTTTGGGAAAAGAATTGCGTGGAGAGAAAAATCTCGCTTTCCTGACAGAGCTGCAGAGCGAAGGCTTGAACTGTCCTCTTCAGATAACCAGCAAACGTCAGGAGTGGTGTGCGTCAGAGGCAGCCGCCCATGGCAGGCCTCCACCTCAGTGAAGAATTAGGGTTCAAGCACTCAGCAGGCTTCAGCTCGGTTTCCAGGGGCTACAAAATGAGTGGTAGCGCAAGCAGCTTTTGTGTACCAGCCTGACCTCATCTGAGAGTTTCCCAGACAGCAAAAGCAACACTCCATGAGCATCAGCTGCTCCCTGGGCCTCTGCCTGGTGTGTTAGTCAGTGTGAAGAACAGCATCTTCTGGGAGATTTACTGAGCATCACCCCTGTCTTCCTGCTCCTCTGTCCTTGCCTGGGCGTCTCTTGCTGAAGCACTGCTTCAGGTCTTGCTGGGAGCCCCTGGCAGGGCAAATGGGAGCCATGTATCTCAGAACCACAGGGATATTTTAAGGTCACCAAGATAACCAACCTCTCTGTGAAAGAGGGGTCAGCTACAGCGCAGGCACTGCAGGGTAAGAGATTGCAAGGAGCAGGTACTCAAAAAGCATTTGGCCTGTGGCAACTAACTGGTAGGAGACCCAGAAATACTGCACCCCAGCATTCGCTTGAGCTCTCTTTGAACAAGCCCTGAGCAGATGAAGATAGGCTCAATGGGCAGGTCATGGATTGGGGACACCTGAGATTTTAAAAAAAGTCAGACCACTTCCTACTGCAGGGTGATGTACTTTGAATATGCACGTATGACCAGCGCTACAGGAACAGTATTTCAGGTATGTTTCAGAAAAAAAATTACTGGGCTAGTTTTTGTTACTCTTTCTTGTCTGTAAATCCAGGTGCTGTCTTTATAACCAGGCATGGCCTAGTGGGGCAAAAGAAAGTTATACAAATAATGTGAAATAGCTTTTCTTCAGACAAATACCGTTACAGTTTTAAGGATATTCTGAGGCCTTGAAGAAGCTGTCGTGCGTTCTGTGGGGAATCAGAGAACATCTCCTCTCCTGCGGGGAAGGGTACCAGGATGGCAAGAGCATAGAGCGAGCATTCCAAATTCAGTAGCAATGGTCACTATGCCAGTGCATCTCTTATCATTCACAGTATTTGTAAAGGCTTCTGGCACAGGAGGCATGAAAATTTAGGCATGAGACCAAAGAGCTGAACTGAGATGGCACAGACAGAAGTGCTCAGGTGTTACTGCTGGCTGACCAGCTTGTAGCCAACAGGACCTTATCAAAAATACTTTGGCTATTCTTGTTTAGTTTTTCATTGTGTGAAACCAGTTTAATTTGGATATAATAGATTGTATTTTAACTGCTATTGAGAATAATGCAGTTCCTTTGTTTCCACAGATATTGATGAATGTGCTACTGGGAGAGTTATCTGTCCACGATTTAGGCACTGCGTCAATACTTTTGGAAGCTACATTTGCAGGTGTCATAAAGGCTTTGATCTAATGTACATCGGAGGCAAATACCAATGCCATGGTAATAACAACTTCTTTCTTATGTGCATGTAATAGAGCTGCATAGTCTAAAGAGGAGCGTTTGCTTATTATGGCTGAAATGTTGAAGCAGGTTGTTTTAGGTTGCACTGCATCTGTATTTTAGGAAAGAG